CCAGAAGGCGACCAAGCTCTCTGCAATTTCGAGCTCATGTCGCGAGGAAGGTTTCAAGCCTGATAGCACCTTGGCGGATGATGTGTCGGAGCCATGTAGCTCCACTCCCCCAGTGGAGGAGCCGGCTTTCGCGGCCTTGGCAAACCTGCGCGTGTGTGCAGAAATGCCGGGCGCACCAGCATCCTTTACATTGTCCGAGTACTACAGCAGGCAAGGGCCCTTGTCGCCGTGCTCCCCTGCGCCAACAGAAAGCTACGGCGGACGAGAGGCGCGGTTTTCGCACGAACTTGCTGAGCACGACTACGGCGGACAGGGGTTGTTATCTCCTGCGCCCACGGAGTATGTCTTCAACCCACAGGCATGGTCACCAGCGTCCACGCAATTCGGAGCTCCATTGCCGGAGCACGGCGGAGAGGGCTTGACAGGAGGTTTCAGCCCCAAATTCCCACCGGGAGTGCCAATCAAACCTGACGATTTGCTGCGTGAGCACAACGACTGTCCGTTTGGGATGCCACCTCCGGATGACAGCACTGCCCACTTCTGCCAGGACAGAAATGAAGTCAGCGAGATCTGCTTTGAAGAGTGCTCAGCTCACTGGTGCGGACTCTTCAGCAGCTGTTGCTAGGTCCCTCAAGTATTTTTGCACTTTATATTTGGGTGTCTCCGTCTCAACAGGGAATTAACAACAGGTAAAAGCCCAACCATATAATAAGGGGATACCGCGGAACCTAGGCCGCCATGCATCAGCACCAGAAATCTGCACGGATTGGATGATCGGAGCATACAACTCCGTGCTGAACGCGTTGGATTTCATCACCGGCGCAAAGCCTGCCGGCGCGGAGGGCTACTCTGCCATGCCCTCACAGAGCCAAGCGCATTATGTGCCCAACCCGCTGCTGGAACCTCCATCGACCACAAACACGGCATTGCCACAGCACCGGACGCTTTGTCCGGCTTCTACAACGGAGATGCTTCCTCCCTCTGCACCGCTGCCGGCACCGCCGTCATTGCCGTCCCTGCTGGGCCATCGGCGTCGTGCCTCCAAGGTCACTGACGTCTTCAAAACACACCTGCCGGGGGAAATGCCCTGCAGCCCGATGTCCCGATGACGCGAAAGTGCAGGGGCCAGTTGTCAAAAAGAGACCACGTGCAGGAGTTTCAATGAGCTCACGCGGAGAGGTTCTTGGGTCAACCCCCACTTTGCAGT